GTGGCACCCCCTGGGCAGCACCCACTCGCTGGCACCCCACCTGGGCAGTCCCAGGGGGCGCTGCCGTCACGGAGGGAAGCACCAGCACCAGCAACCCCCTCCCCCCCGCAGCTCAGGGCCCACTGGCAGCTCACCCCTGGGCACGGGAGAGGCGGGCAGGCTCCGAGGGAAAAAAAAAAGAGATCACTGCTTTTTTTTTTCCTTCGGCAGAGCCTGCCCACTCGGCGGCGGGGGGCTCCATGCTTCACTCTAGCTCTGAGTTGCCTGCATAGCTGTTTGAAATGCCTCAGGATCTATAATAATAACAGGCTTATTCTGTCTGTCCAAAGCACTCTGATTGGTTCTTTCAGTAAGCATTGAGATTGGCAGCAGAGACAACCAATCAGAGTGCTCCAGACAGACAGCCTAGGCCTATTTTTATTAGAGATTATGAGTCCATCATACAACACCGGATGCTGGGCCTTTCATTTTGCCTCACTTATCTCTCAGGGACCCAGGTGGGATCTTAAAAGCAACCAGAGCTAAATAAGAGATCTTCTAAGGTGAGCAAAATTCTTTTCTTCACAGTTGCAGACCTCTAGAAAGTATCTGGCTGTGACTTTAAGAGTTTCTATTAGAGTTTCCATCTAGGAAGATGTGAGGCTTGTTTACTGCATTGTATAGGATGCAGTTCCAAAATAAGGGCTGATGATTGTTTTCTGCTTCCAAAATCAAAATGTAACATACGGGATTTGGGGAAGCCTGATTCTGTTCCATCATCCCATCCCTAGCTTCAGTATCTTGCTAACAGTTGTTTCTTCACCATGTGGAGGGGAGAGAGAAAGACAAAAGAGCTCCTCAAACGTGTAAGCTTCTTCATTTACATACCTCACAAATGCATTTGCCATATATGGCCATCAGGGTGAACCAAGGCAAGCCTTTTCCCAGGAAGGAAATGTCTGATCCCATGTTCTACAGCCATACAGAGTAGAGAGGAAGATACTGACCCACTTGGGACTGACAGCCATTTTTAGGGGGTATGGACCAAAAGTCAAATGGAGTTTTCTGAGCCAGCAACTGCTCCTTATACAGGGAAAATAACATTATAGTTATAGTCCAAAACAAAATACTGTATTAAAAAAAATCTTTGTTGAAACTATGCTTTGGTGCACTGAATAGCTTGAACCAGCAACCAGCATTCCCTAACCTACCATCTTTCTAGTCTGTGTCATCGTAAGACTAAATATAAAGATTCTGGATTTGTTACAGAGGAACCACACACTATCTGTAGGAGGGCTGAGATGAGTCTCACTACTTGGGGTTTCTGCAGAATTCAGAAATGTTTAGCAAATTAGTGACTTCTTGTCCCCCTCCCAACACAGATGAACTCAGGGGCTGGCAGAAGACAGTATGATCTATTGCTCTGCTATTGCGGACATAACTGTGAGAACATTCTCTCCAGATGAGTCAAACAGAATCCACGAAGGCTCAACTATTTGTAGAGTTACCCATGTTTGACCTCACAGCTCCCTTAGCAAATAGAGGGGTTAATGGCTTTGGAAGGTAAATGTAAACAAATAACAGCAAAACTTTTGGTGGCTTGTCGACAAATTATATGCAGTATCAGTATATTAATTATTTTGTACATCTAGAAGCCAGTGTGGATGTAGAAGGATAGAATGCAAAATATTCAGCCAGTTCTCAGTCAGCTCATGATTTGAAATTCAGTGCAATTTCTATTTAGCAGCATGAAAAGTGCTATTGGGAAGTAGAGAAGAAAAGGATACAAAAAGGAATAGGGAATATTAGCTTTAAATCCAAGTCCCAACATAAAACATGGCCATAGAGTTCATCAGTTAATTACCGCAATGTAAGAAGGCCCCAAGTGAGAAAAGTTATCAAGAACAGCAAAGTAGATTAGTAGGGCATGTCCCCACAAACACCTCAAAGCCATTTAAGGCACCACAAACTGCACACAGTGCACGTGCACTTGTACGCCATGCTAATCTGCAGTATGATGGGTTTTTTTGACACGGGGAGATCCTGGTGTTAAAAAAAACAAACCAATACTAAAAACATGGTGCAGTGCATGTGGCAGCAGCGTGTGCCACCAGAAACTGGAGCCTGGGTGGCCAGAGCCATGCTCCAGCTGTCAGCCAGGCTCCAAGCAGCCGCTCAGCACCGCTGCTGCCCCGAGAGGCCCCCAGGACACGAGGTAAGGCTGCTGGGACCAGCACAGGTGGTCCCCAGGCTCCCCCACCCCACCCCACCCCACCCGGGTCTCTGCTGCATGCCAGACCACGTGTGTAGGGGCGTGCCTGGGGACAAATAGCAGCAGCACAAATATATGTCGCTATTTGTCCCATGGGAAACGTGCATCTCTACATATGTGCGCTTGTGGGGATGCACCTGTACTGTTTATAAATAGGTGCTTTGAAGTCACTAAGACCAGAGGTATTCTACTTACGTGGTAAAATGGTCAAAAGTTGAAATAGCAGGAGAAATTATCAGGAAAATCTATTCTAATCAAAGAGCACAGAGTGCCCATGATTCCCATCTGATATAAAGAGTCATAACACGCTGCTTTTAATAAGCAGATGTCCTCTAGATCTTAAAAGGCATGTGCAACTTAAAATGGGTAGCTTAAAACAAACTAAAGTTGGATTGCCCAAGTCAGACAAGAGCTGAATGCCCCCTTAAGTATCTTCCTGCCATTTTAAGATTTAAAATCTAGTGTTGTCCCTGGATTATTTATTGGGCAAGTCCAGGGGCACAACATTTAATTGAAGAAATTGTGATATTACAGAATTCCCCAGATGTTCATATCTAAGGGTTTGTCTCGTGCTATTAATTCTTTTACATTGCTGTATTAATTTTTTAAGGTTTTGTAAATCTTATTTTATGTTTTGGATCTCACGTGTGCATGGGAATTCAAACAACCACACTTACCCTTTTCACTCCAGGGCCAAAACTATCTTTGGAATCACAGCTGGAGCTGACATCTCAGCCCATAGTTTATCACAAAGGAGATTCTCCTTGGGCACCTTAGACTCTTTGATGGAGTATAGCTGTACTAGTTCACCAAAAAGTCAATTTAAATCAGAATGAAACCAAGTACTTCCAGAAAACTGGAATTTGAGGAAAAATATTAATTTTAGAAAGTTTCCAAACCAAAATGTGCTCCCCTTTGAGAGAAACTGAAATTCTTTTGACTATAGCAGTGATGAATACTGACAAAAATGTTAGTTTGATTCACCACCTTCTAGGGCTGCCAGGTCTGTGCCTCCATGGCAGGCTCACCATGCAAACTACCCTGAGCCAGGGACCCCACAACTTCATACTTGCAGGCATTTGCTGAAAATATCAATTTCAGTGAGCAGCTCCATGGTGGCGAACCTGGAAACCCTGAGAGTACCCAGCAGTCTGCTTACCAGGGCTGCCCTCTAAGGCAACAGGCCCTGGAAGCATCAGGATTTAAACCAATTTGGGCAAAACTTTTCCGATCCAACTAACTCTATTCAGTCAGGACTTGAAGGTGTAATGTAAGTATATGTTATCCAGTTCATTCCAACCAGTATCTTCTAAAACTGTAGTCAGGAAAACATGATTGTATTTCAGAACATGCTACACTGGTTGAATTAAAAATCTGGATTAGCCTTTTAGCCTGTCTGGTGAGGGAACTGCTGTTGTATCCCTCTCCATCCTATCTTATCACTGTCCTGCGCAAGCTCCTGCTCCATTCACTTTCTCTATCCATGTTCCTTCTTCCTCCAGCTTCTCCTAATCCCTGACTTTCTCCTTTAACCCTTACACTCATTCCTCTGCACACATACTCAACAGTTTTCCTCCTCCTCTCCTCATTTGCCACATTCAGTTCTCAGATCTATCTTCAAGACAGTTGGCAAGAGCAGTACTAAAACAAGAGAGGTTCCCTGTCTCAAAGAAATCCCCCTTGCAGCACAGCTGCCCCAGTTTCTCTTTGCAGCATAAGTGCCTGGATTGTCAGGTGTGATTTCTTTGACCTACATTCCACACACTAGCTGTGTGCTTTCTATGATAGACCAGAAAGAGTGAAAATTCAGCTGGACTTCAAGGTCCAGAAAAAAGGTAGATCCAGATCCTACTTTAAATGCATCCCTCTCCTTCTAAGTTCCATTCCTCCTCTTTGCTGCATATCAGCAACTACAATCCCTTCATCCCCTTAAAACATTGTACCTACAGCAATGGTTCTGGAACCAAACAGCAACAACTAAGGTCAGACTGTGTCCAGGTTTACTCAGAGTGGCTGTAATATTATCTTTTGATGCACATGAACAGGCATATATGGTTTCAAAACCAAGGCAGTTGCACTTTCAGTTCTTCATTAAGTACAAATATTATGTAGATTTTTTGCACTCTTTTGTATAAGAGATATATTTCTTACTGCAAGTGTTTGTTTAAAGACATGTTTGATTGTCAAGGCTAAATGCAAGCCATCTGCCAAAATTTAAATTAAACTCTTACTTCAGTGGATGAGATTTCACTCTCAGAAAACACCGTTTCCTTGCCAGCACTGTGCTGCTCCCAATTTTGATCCTGTGCCTTCATAGCTTTTAAGTGCTTACATTTCTATAGAACCTTCATGTCTAAAGGCTTAAAATTACCAGCTCATGGTCATGAAGAAACCTCCCACATGCTCCACCGCAGAGAATAACACTGTGCAGTGGGGTGCAAAATATAGTAATCTATACTGTATCATCTGGTTCTGGCCATTGCTGAATTGTCAGTGTCTTTTTTCCTTCCGGTTTGTCAGTTTTATGTTCCCATCCCATAAAGATGCAAATTAGTTGTTATATCAATGTATAAATTAAATGCACTTGTTGCCATAAATTGAAAACTAAATAGTCAGTTTATTATTAAAGAAACTTTACTACCTTTTTTCAATTTAACTTAACACTTTTGAAATACAAATAAAAAACCAACAATGAAACACTTTGCTAACGTCTACAAAAGGATCTAAATAACAATGCACATACATCATTTACATGATTCACTTTCACAATAAAATAAGAGAGCTTAGGTCAATATTTACAATATTGACGGAGGTCATAGTCTGACAGCCATCAGAGGCTGGTGCTGTCTCTTATTATTGGCTTGCTAGAATATCAAAGCCCAAATCCTGCAGTTGGATCTGCCTGGGCATACCCCTTTACCTGACACAGAACCCCACATATGTCAATGGGGCCTTGGGTGACATAAAACCACATAGCTCCAGCTGCAGGATCAGTTCCTAAGAGACCAAAATGTAGCAAATATTTGTGTTTTCATCATTAAGCTGCCATTATAGCACCTGAACACACTTGGATTAAATATTTAATGCATCCCCTGACTTAGAATTCTACTTTCCAACTTGAGGCACTTCATTATAAAGGCATTTATTTGTTATGGCTTACACAAGAAGATAGTCAAATTCTACCCTAGGATATGTGTTTGTTAAATTCAATGAGAGCAGCATGTACACATCCAAGAGTATATCTTGACCCAACATTTGGTGCTTATCTACATGAGAAGATTAGGGTGTGATAATTCACGTGAATCCTCAAGGATATATTCTATTATGATCTAATCTTCTAGGGAAGACAAATAGTCACTGTACTTAAGGCTTATATCTATAGCCCCATCCAAATTACTGACACTTGGGGTTTTCCCTTGTAGAATAACTTAACTACTTGAATCCAAACTATTTCAACATGCCATTGGGTGGCATGATCCACATATGATTGTCTTAAGGTACACAGCATACTGACAGATTATATACATAGCTTAACATGTACAAAACAAGGTCACATTCTAACAAATAATAAATATAGATCAGAGTACAAGACTAAACTAAAAATAAATTAGAAAGAACCTTTTGCTATTGACTTTCCTTTTTTCTCTCATTTAGGGCCCAGACCAAAGACCATAAATGTCAATGAAAGTTTCTCCATTGACTTCAAAGGGCTATGGATAGGGCCCTTAATTAGATTACAGCTGTTTGAAATGCAGAAATGTAGCTAGCCTGACAGCTGTTTGTTATCTATATGACCAAACTTACCTTAAAGGGAGCATCTGAGGTAAAGACAATTAGACCAAAATTTTAATATTGCATTTATTAGGCAGAAAATAGTTCTTGCTGATTGTCTTTATCACTTAATTCAGCAGCAAGGAAGTAAGAATACAACTAACTATAGGAACACCACGTATTCACAAGACAAATACGTATTAGTGCACACAGTTGTCCAAATTTTACTCTTTAAATAAATGTGGGTTGATTTGAGAATGACTAATTACGCACTTAATAAAAACTGTCTCAAGACTACAGCTAATCTCAAAACCAAAAAAGTTAGCTACATGTTGATATGAAGCATCTTATTTGACAAAACTGTCAAGATGGCCAGGAAAAAAAATCCTCAGATCCAAATACCCCCGAACACTGAGAACTGTGGAATACGGGTCAGAATTAGTTGGTTTGGGCCATTTCTGCCAAACTGAAAAGGATTAAAATATATTTCCTTTTTTTAAAAAGGGAGAGCAGTGAAATTTATCATATGAGAATTGCACTCAAAAGGTCCCTATGATGCAGTGTTTACTGTAAGAAGCGTAACTCAGTTGCTCTACACCAAAGTAGTGCAGTACTTTGCCTGTAATTTACTTCACGTCTCTTTTTTCCCCTCCCCAAGACTTCATTGTGGATTCAGTATTAAGTTACTTAACAGCTAGAAAGTCTGTGTCTCAAACAGAAACTCTTGGTCTACATGGAGGGTGGTGTGACGGGAGTCCAGGTGGATGCTAGCCTTGCATGTGTTGAAGTATCATACTGGCTGTCAGGAATGTCTGTTGGTGTGCCGCCGTCAAACAATGGAGATCCTGAGGAGGAAGCCGTGACTGAGTGAGGGAGGGGTGGGTAGTGCGCTGCAGAGCCACGCAAGAACTGGGAGCTCAGTCCATTGGACATCCCACTGGACTGCGATACCGGTGTGATGGTGCTGTTACTAACAGACCACAAGTTGGGATACTGACTGTAAGAGAGAGAAGAACTCCATATAATATGGATTATTAATGACCCCAGCTTTTCTTGTCACCAAATAAGGCAGATTACTGATTCTTCAAGTTCTCTGAGAGTTTCCTGTCATTGCAGTAAATCTTTGAAACTAAGGTTACATATTATATACTGATGCTGCAACGGGTGTGCTATGAAAATAAGAATCGAGCCAAATCTTCCCAGCCGTACGCTATCTTAAAAACATTATTTTACCTTAGAGACAGTAATAAAAAAGGTTCATCTGTAAGATGTCTTTGCCGAGAATAAGTTTAACTTCTATTTAATATTTAGTTCTTAAATAATACTTTTCACCCAAATTAACTGATGAAGGAATTCCTGCCCCCCCAAAAAAGAAAAAAAAAGATGTTTCTCTTTTAAAAGGAAGTATTTCTTCTAAAGAGTGGCCTGCACCTTAAAGTCCAGTAAAAAGCTCTTTTATACACCACGGATGAATCTTTATTTGATGTCTTTTTTTTTAAGTTTCAAAATCAGAAAGTTGGAGAGTGTCTTAAATAAATTCAAGGTAGCTTTCTATTCAACAGAATACAGTAAATAATATCCCCAGCTTATCCCCACAGGTATGGAGTCTAGACACCGAAATTATGTGAATTGCCCAATGTGCCACTGCAAATCCTTGGCAGAGCTAAAAGAAGAACCCAGGTCTTTTATCTCTTAGTCCTGGGCCCTTGATTTGCCGGAATTTATGGCCTTCTGAATGCTTGGAAGAGCAGGAAGGAGAAAAAATGATGTAATTTCAATTAACTTCTGGTCAGTAAAATAAGGATTTTGTACTTTATGTTAGTCACATATACAATAAATTATTAAGACATAAATGAGAAATTGAACATTTCTTTAAGCAGTCTATTTTCTACAGTTCATGTATATTAATTAGTCAGCTATTTAGACTTCAGAGCTGAACTGTGAATTGCAAATTCAAATGATAATCAAATCCTGCCCCCACTGAAGTCAAAAGCAAAAATTTCACATACTTTTTCTGACTCCCCCAGTGGTTTTGTCTCCTGGTGACTGACTGCAATTTAACCCTCTACCATGACAAAGACAGCAAGTATCATCATAAATATAAAGAGAGGTGACACGCTCGTGAGTTCACATAAAGGCAATAACAACATGCTGTTACTTAAAGGGTCACTACCAGCTTGAATACACCTCCTTTTCTGAATCTTTTTCAAAATCTATTATTGCTAAATAATAGGTTAAACAACACCTAAGAGTTTCGAAAACTGAAAGCTAAAAAAATAATCATTCCCTGTCTGATATTTTTGCTTTATACATTTGACATCTCCTGCTGTCTAAACATTTTTATAGTTTCGCCTGTAGCATCAGTAATTTTTGCATAATAAGGCATTTTAGTATTTAAGCAACCAAAATTAAAAAAGGCAGGCGTGAATATAACAGAGGGCTGTTGAAACAGATGTGGTATATGAAATTACTTTTAACTGTTTAAAAACTAACTAGATTCAAGCTGATAGGGATCCTTTCCTCTCCTTTTTAATTAACAATATATTCCGATTTATAAAGATATTGGTGCTCCCTCACTTAAGGGCTAATTCCTACCTGCAGCTAGTGGATGTGCCGGTGCCGTGACTCATGGGTAGCATACTTGTATGGGTGGGAACTCCTAGACTAGACCAATTGTCGTGGGGTTGAAGCATGGAAAGGCAGGCAGAGGAATTATCAGCATAGGCTGCTGTGAAAGACAAGCATCCATTTAGTAAGCACATTAGTCATTGTACCAAACAACAATTCTCATTTTCAATGAAAAATATGCTTTTTAACTACTTTGTAAAAAAAAAAAAAAAAAAAAAAGGATACCAATTGTGCCAACTGTCAGTTCTGTTTTGGGGTTTCCCAGTAGCTCCTGCACTATGCCACTAAATAAGTCACAGAATGTGGATTGCCAGTCCATACTTCACCTCTCAACTCCAGCAGATCCTGAAGGCAAAAATGCTCAGCTTGTGATTTAGGTGGTTCTGTAGTTTTCACATAGCTTACTTAGCTGTGGCATCAGAGGGCTCCAAAGGGAAACCCATCCAGTAATGTACTGCCAAAACACTGCTGAGGTCTATGAACTTAACGGAAGGGGAAAGAGTCCTTTTATGATGATGGTGAAAGGGGTGGAAAGCACAGGGAAGTTTGATTATGTTCATGGGATATTTTATTTTAAATTTACAAAGCCCATTTGAAGCTCAAGACATAACAAAAAAAAAAAATCACTTGCACATTTTCATCTTTAAAGCACTATCCTGTAGGAACAGGTATATTATGGGTAATATTTGCAACAATTTAATGACCACCTTGCCAACGAGCCTACATAATACTCTATCACTTTAAAATATTAAATTAAAAAACATGTTTTGCTTTTCAAGAAATTTTACTGGATGGAAGGCAAATAAACGGAGACAAGTTCTTAATAGGAAAGGAAAGTATAGTTAACAATTCCCTCCTTTCTGTTCACAAAAATGCAGCTGGATACTTTCAACACAAAAGCTGACTCAGAAGCCTTTAGCTTATGTAATTCTTACATTGTCTTTATGCCCCCAAAACCTTAAGTAAGGTATATTATTGCACTTGTAAATTAATTGATTAATTAAATAACTAAATACTCTCTATTCTTATAATCAACTTGAATTTAAACGGACAGCTAAAATTATTAAAGTACTTCCCTTAATAACTTGCACTGTTTTGTTCTACACTAGCACACAGGGACATGGTGAGCACAATATTATCTAGTAGCACTGCATGCACTATTTTACTTTTCCATTGTTAAGAAACTAGAGAAACATATTTTACTTTTCACTTTCCTTTCAGTGGTGTCACAAAACCTCAGCACAAAGCAAGCTAGATTCTAGTTTTAGGGGCACTCTGGATTTACACTGGTACAACTGATCTAGAATTATTTCCAATCATTAAATAGTTGCAGTGTAATAAAGACTTACTTGGAGAGTTGTTTCTATGGGCATATGGATTGGGGTAAGGGGCAGAACGGTGATTCCTCAGCGATGAGTACCTTTCACAACTGTGAGCAGGAGAGAGTGATAAAGGTGATCCAAACTGAGGGTGAGGGTTGGTAGGGGGGCACAATGTCCCAGTTCCAGGAATAAGCCAACCACCTACTGTGAAAGAGAATCTTTTCAGAACACAGGTACATGATGACATGGGATGACTGGGAAATGTTATGAGTACTTTGCATACTAACAGTCTAGAGTGAAATAACAGCTGGTGAGTAGTGCAGGTTTGTGAAAAAAAAAAAAACGTGTCACAGAAACAAGTTAGCTGTGACACATTCCATTTGAAAGAAAAATTAGGGGTAAAAAGATTTTAGAAAGGTCAATAAAATCTGGTTCCTGCAGAACTCTATTAAATAATGTTATTAAAGTTTCCTTCTCCCTGCATCTTAAGAAGGATTCTGTCAAAACAACACATATTTAAAAACAGATTTTGTTTGTCATACTTATTATACTAAGGAAATCAAGACTGAAAATTCTATACAATCTTCCAGTACTGTAACAGTGATGTAACCATGATTGACCAGAAATTGAGAGGCAAGGATTTTGTTAGAGATCTAATGAAGACCATCTTGCATTCAAAAGCTTGTCCCAACCTACATAGCTGGTCCAATACAAGGTATCACCCTAAGAAATCTTTGCCTCTTGCATAAAATCTTGCACCACTTAGGCTGTGCATGTGCATTTTGCATTGAATTAATTTTGGAAAATTAAACTTTACTAGCTAGTTTAATCATCTGTTTCTACTTTTTCTTTTTTTTGGTTCTCAGAGTAGTATTGTTGTTTCCAACACTGCTGGGGAGCATGTATAAAAAGAAAATAGTTTCTTTGAAATACAAATAAAATCTAGTTGTATTACAATTTGTAATAGTTCTCTTATTCAAGGCCTGGCCTTAAAAGTTTTCTTGACAATTTTCCCTAAAATATTTCAATTTAAAAACTTTTAAAATAATGACATTTTACCCTTCTAAAAACAAAAATCTATTTTAACTGTGGCTTTCAATTAATATACTAAAAACTAAACTGATAATTTATTTTCAAAACCTTTCTGCTGTCATATGAAATTAAACAGCCTTTTCATTAATTTCTGTGTAAACAGATTTCCTTATATCCAAGACCCATTGCCTTATAGAAAATTAATGTAATGCTTCACTTTAAAATCTGTAAAAGTATTAATGCATGTAAATGCAACATATAGCATAGAAGCTGAAACATGCATAACTAGTACAAAACAATAACTCTGAGAATCAATGACAATTATATCATACCGAACCTATGGCATGAGTTAGTGTACATCTTCCAACAAGTACTTGTGTCTGAATTTTAATGAAATACAATATAGTACCAAACTGGAACAGAAGGGGAACATGTGTAATGATAAGATGAAAGACAACAAACATTTGCAAGTTGGATATTTAACACAAGGGAAATCAAACATACATTGGGAATATCCAGACTGCTGATTGTCTCCCACTTCATCCATCATGTCCTTGTGATCACTCCTGTGAAAGCAAACCTGTTTTATTAATCAAAGAAAACGATCTGAAAGGACTCAGATTTTTTTCTGCAAGCTGTACACTTGGGTTTATTCAGGAATTCTTACCTTTCTTTAGCATCAAGGAAAGCCTTTGCAAATGGATTATATTTAATTTTTAAAGCTGTGATCTAAAAACCAAAAACAACAAAATGCTTCATTTGCACATTACCATTCAGTATCACACAGAATTAAAGGACCCAATCAGGTTTTTCTGAAATCAGGATGCTTTACCATTGATTTCAGGGCAAATGATTAAAGCCATACTGTGGATATACATATATCTCATCCAATCATCTCTAATGTTAACAGTAGGCTTGAAATTATTCTACAAAAATTTTAGAGACATCCACAACCATTTTCTATCTAAGTTACCTCGGCTTATTAAGGAAAGCACATAAGAAAGGGGGCACACTAAATATTTTCAGATTTTGAACAACAATAAATCACAAGCAGGAAGAGCTCAGTAACTTGGATGTTAATTATTCTTACATTTCTACATTTTAGTTATTTGAAACTAAGATCCAGTTCTGAAAATACCATTTCTGGTGATTTTGTGTACTTTCAAATGGAGAGTTTATTCTTACATTTAAAGGCAGATTCAGCATGTTCCAAAGAATCTTTACTTTTACAATAAAATTAGAGCCTATATGAGACAATCATCTTTAGGGAATGACTGTTACTCTATTTCTATACGGCTTTATATTTATCTAATTCCAAGTAAATGTGCTTCACATTCACCTTAAAATAAACACACACACACAATAGAAAAATGTAAGATGACAAATATTTTACTCCAGGAACTTGCACTTTGCTCCTTCCAAGAATCTAGAGCACTCAGAGGTTTCTTTCTTGCTCTATACATACCTCCTCATTCTGATAAGCCGTCACAGCTATAAATTGGGTCTCTGGGAAAGAGTGACTGGTGATCATTCGCTGAGGGCCACCAACTCTCACTATGTGAATCCTAGGCTCATACTTATGCAAGGAGTTCAACATGATCTGTGAATATATGGCATCAGTGTAAGAGTGATGTTGTAGCCTCGATAGTCCAGAAATTATCTGAGTCAAAGATTTCTTACGGTGATAACTTTAATTGAACCAACTGTGTAGTTGGGATAAAGTAAGACAAGTTTTCCAATACAAGACATTCTTCCTCAGGTGCCATATACTGTGAGAAACAAGGATTTCTTAGGGTGATGTGTTTTATTGGACTTTTTCTTTTAATGAGACCAGAGAAAGAATGTCTTATATTCAAAAGTTATCTAACTTTATCCCTACTACACAGTTGGTCCAATAAAAAATACCACCCTAATAAATCCTTGCCTCTCACAACGTACGGCAGCACAGATAAGCACTGGCACCACGGGATGCCAATTCCTGAAATTACAGACACTTTCTGATTTCAGTCATTAACCTTTTTTTTCAGTGATGGAGGAAAAAAGTCAGATACCAGTAAATTCTAAATGTGAAGTCTGACAGAAGACATTTCAATGTGTTAAGCTGAAGTCAAGTAGAAGGCAGGATAATTTGCATGATATATATCTATATCTATATGCTCTTTACACAGAACCCTCACAGTCACCTTAGGACGTAACATAGCATCCCTAACTGTGGGAAGATTAACATAAGTGAGGATACACACACATCCACATCTTCACTTATATGTGTATATATATACACACCAACATACACATATACAGACACACACACACATATAAAAATATATGCACACACATATATTATGTATGTGTGTGTGTGTGGTTTATATATCCCTAGATTCTATCTATATATAGTTCAGCACCCCTAGTTTATAGATATATCCCATGGTGAATGTGAGGGTTCTGTGTTAGGAGCTCACACACACACACACACTAGTTTTTTTCTTTCTCTCCCTACACACACACACACACACACACACACACACACACACACACACACACACACACACTAAATATATCTATATCTATGTATCTATATCTCTATAGATACAGAGATATCTATATAGAACGAGCTTATATATACACATATCTATAGATATATTTCTATAGATTTATAGATATGTCTAGATCTATAGATATAACTAGATCTAGAGCTAAATGCATTTAGCTCTAGCTATAGATAGATCTAGAGCTAGATAGTTCTAGTTTGTGCTAGATCCTACCACAAGGTTTCCTGAGCAGAAGTGGCCCCCTCAACTTTCTGGCTAGCCTACGTGGTACAAATCTATGCTGCCTTCTCCAAGAAGTTGAAGTTAAGCAAGTCAGCTGTCCAGCCAAGCCAGGCTGTTCAGCAGGGTAGACAGCTTCCAGGAGGCAGCAGCCAGGAGAGCAAAGAGGCCCCTTATGGACTAACTAAACCAAGAGGGACTGAAGCTTCTGTGTGTTGTCAGAGGCTGCAACAGAGAACAGACCCGAGGTGCCCTGAGTTGGATGGAGGTGGTAGCCAAGGGGCCCACGTGGGAAGGAGAGGCTGGGTTGGCAGAGGTGGCTGCAGGGTGGGGGCTTGATTCAGTCCAGCAGGCCTGTTGCTTTTCTAGGACTGGCAGGCAGCACCCACCCAGTGCAGCCATGAGCCTCCCTGAAAGGGGGGGTCCACTGAGACAGTAGCACCTAGTTCCCTGCGACAGAACAGAGAAGGGGGCAGGGAACGAGCTCACAGGCCAAAAGCAATGCAGCCTGCCAGCGGCCCTGGCCCTCAACCAGGCCAAGGAGCCAGCAGATGCTGCTGGGGAAGACTCTGCCCAGAGCTGTGCAAGTCCCTGGGGGTCCCCAGCCAGAGCCTCCTTCCTGGTGACACAGAGGCCGGCCAGCAGGAGGCTGCTGAGAGAGGAGAGGGGACCTCCCGCCCCGCCTTCCCCTTCCTGCCAGCACCTGCACAGAGCCATGGGGGGCAAGAAGGGGGCTCACCTGCCCACCGCCGTTGAGTTTGTTGGTGAGCTTGACCTTGCTGAAGGAGACAGGCGCCTTCATCCAGTGCGCGCCAAAGTTGGGCGAGTCAGGGTGGATGTAGACGCAGCTGGGCGCCTGCGGCTCGGGCTTGCCACCTGGCACCCACTCACCGTTCACATACTTCCAGCGGTGCCCGTCGGCTGCCGCAAAGTCCAGCAGGAAGGAGTACATGGCGTGCGGGTCCAGGCCGGCCACGCTCACCTTCAGCACCGGGAACATCCGCCTGCGCGGGTCACACGCGGGGAGACAGGCGCGCTGGCCACTGGCCCCGCGTGTACCCACCCCTACCCTGCATGTGCACCCCCCCGCATATGCACACACCCCCATGTATACACCCTGCTGCCTCTGCGTGTTCACACCATGTATGCACACCCCTGTGTGTACACACCCCTCGTGTGTGCACACCCACCCCTGCATACACCCCAACAAGTGTACATACACCCTCTGCTGCCTGTTCAAACCACCCTTGCATGTGGACACCCCCTCCGCATATGCACCTCCTCATGTGTACACCTCACCCCCCCGAATATGCACACCCCCTAACCTGTGCACACCCCTGCTGCGTGTACACATCCCCCCCCGCATGCCCACCTCCCCACGTGTGCATCCCAACCCTCTGCGTGTGCACACTCCCCCCACGTGTGCACACCCTCCTACGTGTATACACCTCCCCGCGTGTACATCCCACCCCAGCAGGTGTACACTCTCCTCCCCAGTGTGCAGCCCCCGGCCGGGGGGCCCGCGCCGGCCCTACCTGCCGTTCTTGGTGACAATCATCTCGTTGGTGAGCTCCTTGAAGCGCAGCCACAGCTCGGCCTCCTCCAGCGTGACGCGCAGCTCCCGCTCCGTGGGGTCGCCCTTCTCGCTGCCCGCCTGCAGCTCGTGCTCCACGGCGCTCAGCAGGTGGTCCACGCGGTACTGCAGGCTCTTGCCTGCGCCCTCCGCGCCCGGGGACCCCATCCTGCCCGCCCGGCCGCCCGCCCCGGCGCTCTCGATCCCGCTCCCGCTCCCGCTCCCGCTCCCGGCGCTGCGAGCCCTGGCGCGGGGGCAGCGCGGAGCCAGCGTCATAAATACCCCCTGTGACATCACCGCCCGCCGGGGGGCGCCCGGATTGGAGCGCGGCCCCTTTGATGTGTCCGCGCGGGCCGCGCCATTGGTGCCCCGGGGCAGCCTGTGATGTTAATGGGGGGGGAGCGCGGCTATTTTATGCAAATCGGCTCCCAAATGTTTGCACCTCCATCAAAGCCGCCGGGGCCGCGGGGAAATGGCCCATCTCGGCCGCAGCCCCTTGCCCCCCGCACGCCCCCGGCTGCCTTGCACACTCCAGGCCTGGCGGGGAGACCCTCCCGCCGCAGGGAAGTGGGCAAAGACCCCGAACAAGCGCAAACGCCCCGTGAGAGAATGGCCCCAAGCTGCAGCCAGGGAAGGTGCGGTTGGGTATGAGGAGAAACGCGCGCTAGGAGGGGAGGGAAGCGCTGGGAAAGTGGCTGTGGAGTCTCCATCCTGGGGGGGAGGGGGTGTTAAACCCTGGGTAGATAAAGCCTTGCTTGCGATGAGGGAGGTTTAAACAGGATATTGGGAAAAACTCTCAGTAGGAGGATGGCAGCATTGGGACAGGTTACCCAGAGAGACGGAGGCACCTTCATCCCTGGACGTTTTTAAGACCCGGCTTGACAAAGCTTTGGCTCGGACTTGGGGCTGGTCCTGCTCGGGTTCGACTAGATCAGTGGTTCTCAACCTGTGGGTCGTGTCCCAGAAGTGAGTGGCAAGACTATAGGAAAGGGTCGGGAACAAACTTGAAAAAGTCCTTCATAAACTCACCTCTTCCACGGGGTACAACGCACACTGCAATGTGATAACAGCCAGCAGCCTTGTGCAGCATTGCCATGTTAATGTAATGTAGAAACAACTCAGGTCCCAACCCTGCAAACCTTTAACCATGATGTTTACAGAGGGGCTGGGGACTCTAGTGATCCGTGCCCATAGGGTTCTTCAGGAGCCAGAGTGTAAGTTCAAATGTTGTCTTTCTAATGGATTCTCCTTTAAAGGAGAAAAATGTGGGAAACCGGGGCTTTTCCCTTGCAGGCTGGCAGAGTTGCAACCTGTGAGGGGCTGCTTGCCCCCCCTACGCCCCCCCCCATGCCCCACACACCCATCACCTGCCCCACACACTGGGGGGCTGAGGCCTGGGGGCAGCAGGTCAGGAGTGAGGGGCACTGGGTGGGGACTGGCCATCCATGTTTACACATGGGTCCTGGTACAAAAAAGGTTGAGAACCACTGGACTAGATCCCTCCTTAGGTCCCTTCCAACCCGCATTTTCTAGGACTCTGATCTAGTTGCGCTGGTCCTGTTTGGAGCAGGGGGGCGGACTATATCAGCGGTTCTCAACCTTTTTGGTACTATTTGGTAACATGGATGGGCACCCAGTAAATCATTAGAGTAGAAGACGCACAAATATTTTGACCCGAAGTTAAAACCACAAGTCAAAGCGGCTCAACAGTCTTTATTTTAAAGACAGAAATCAGTATCAACAGGAAAACATTAACAACAATATCATCACGTGGCCCTGCATTACTCCCAAGTGACATCCACATTTTTCCACATTTTCCCGTGCTTGTTGGCAACCCTTTCATATAGTCTTGCGACCCGCAGGTTGAGAAACACTGGACTCGGTGACCTTGTGAGGTCCCTTCCAGCCCTCATTTTCCATGATGCTATGAACCGACCACCAAGAGTTTCTACGGAATACAATCTATTCAGCTAGTGCTTCTTTAGACCATCTCATTAAACTATTGCCTTCCCACAACCTGCAAGTTAACCCACTATAAACCCACCGCCTTTGGAAGGGCTTTCTGCCTGTGATGGCTAAACCAGGCCGCGCATAAGTATGACAAAGAGACCCAGTTTCAGAGCCAGCATTGTCTCAAAGCTTAATTATAGAAAATTAGGGTTGGGAGGGAAGGGACCTCAAGTCATCTAGTCTGGCGCTTCTCAAGCTTTTTTTGTACCAGGACTCATTTGTAAACATCAATGGCCAGTCCCAACCCAGTGCCCCAAACTCCCGGCCTGCTTCCCCCTGCCCTCAGCCCCAGCCTCCCAGTGTGTGGGGGCGGGGGGAGGGGGGGCAAGCAGCCCCTTGCAGGTGGCAACGCTGCCAGCTTGCAAGAGAAAAGCCCCGGTTTCCCATGTTTTTCTCCTTTAAAAGAGAATCCATTTTGAAAGTTTGTTGCTCCATTTTTAAAAGTGTGTCCCCAACCCTTTCCTATATTCTTGCCGCCCACTTTGGGGTCGGGACCTATGGGTTGAGAAAGGCTGATCGAGTCCAGTCTAGTGAATTTGCAGAAGGGAAGAGTTTCTTCCACCTGGCTCCACAATGTCAGACTCGATCGCCCTTATAACCAGGGGAAAATGCTGCTGGGAAAAGGACTTGAAGCGAAAATGCTGAGTCCTCAGAGTTTCTTTGGCCCAGAGGGAGGGAAGGGAGATGTTTGAAGCATACTCGCCTCCTAATGCTTTTAATGGTTTGACTGCTCAGGAGCTGTTTGACTGCTTAGGAGCGGTCTGTGGTGTGAGAGGGTCAGTTTATTACCTTTCTGTGAGAACCTCTGGGTGGAGGGTGAGGGGGAGAGAGGTGACAATGAGCAGGAAATAGTTCAATGGGGTCTCTTTAAACAATAACAATCTCTTTAAACAGGAGTAAAAAGGGGGGTGAGGTGGGGGGAAGCAAAGCAGTGTAAAAAAATACAGATTTCACAAAAAAAATTAAAAAATAAAATAGGGAATTTGTAGTTTCAACCATTATTATGGTTCCGTGAAGGTTTGCGAAGGTTTCCTTTTCTAAGAAAAGTTTCTGTGTCAATGGCAGTGTGTGGGAAGCAGCAAGTTGAGGCGGGTGCTGAGCCCGGAGACGTCTCTTTGCGTGGAGTTAATATTGCCCACGTGCAGTATGATTGCCCGTTTTTAGGCACCCATCCGGCGGGCGCACATCTGGCTGCAGAGCGGAGGGGGCCACCCCGGGCACTTTTCAGCTGCATCAGATGCTCCGGGCTTGGAAATCAAGCCCCGTCTAGCAAGGCGCAAGGCGATGGAGTCTCTTCCAGTACCCATCTCTTTGGGAGCGGGGGGAGGTGATGTGTTTGTTGCTTCGTTTGGTTTCTCACTGGAGAGCAAACATTTCTCCCTTAGACAGAAACAGACTCAAGACCTTGCCCCACCGCGCTTTTGCTACGTGCCCGTGATTTAAACAACCTCTGGGATGCAGCCCCGCCGGAGCGCATCTGGACCACTTTTGATGGGAGCGATGGTCTCTCCCCGGGTTTTCCCGAGAAGAGGCACCCAGGCGTCCTTCCACCGCCAGGATCCTCACCTGCTCCTTTTACTTGAGGTGCTCCACAGAAAAAAGACACCCCCCCCGACCCCCCACCGGCAAAAGGCAAGGGCACTCAGACTCGGGGCATTTCTGCACAGCTGCCGTCCACGTCCAACCGGGACGAGCCGGTTTCCAAACGCGGAGACTTGCAGGATCTTATTGCAACGCCACAACCCCTTGAACCCTAGCACAGGTCTAACACTGCCCCAGAAGCAGGGGATCTCCTTCCGAGCCCGCTCCCCACGCACAACCTCATTTTAAATCCAGAGGTCCAGCGCAGGAGAAACTTCCTTCCCGGCTCGGGTTCCCCTACAAATGAGTATTTTTAAGGACAAGCAAGTAACAAAGAGTCCTGCGGGACGGAAGGGACGGGTCTGTGCTGGTGGTGGACTGGTACTGATCAGCTATTAAAACGTTTTTAAAAAGAGGGTTGCCACTGGGTATCCAGAGTTAAATGATTGCTAAGGCGACGAATTCTTCACATTTGTATATAGGCATTTCAAAGAAGCGCGGTACAGGCCAGGGAAGCTGAATAACGTTGACAACATAAAGGCTTTCTCCCTTATTTCTCCCCGGTGCGTTTAGTATCACGAGAAGTCATGGCTTTATTGAAAGGGAAAAGAGATAGATAGATAGATAGATAGATAGATAGATAGATAGATAGATAGATAGATAGATAGATCCCGTGTCTATAGATATATAGATATAGAAACGGGATCTATCTATCTATCTATCTATCTATCTATCTATCTTTTTGTGTGTTTCGTTTTTATCATCTTTGCTTCAAAGAACTAATGACTATCCCAAGAGGCAGCTGACAGTTTTCAAACACATCTTCCGGAATTTCAGTTAAAAAAAGATCAGCAGAGGGGGAGGCATTAAAAAAACCCACAGACAAACAACCAAACCCTGAGGAAGGGCACTTGATATCCGAAAGTTTGTCCAACATCTCTCCCAACTATACGGTTGGTCCAATACAAGAGATCACAAAAAACAACCCACCCCCCCCAAAAAAACAAACACTCCTTGCCTCTCCCAAGTGCCTGCTGTGGGAGAGCTCTGGAAGGAACAGGGGATCCCATGATTTCCCCTGAGCTGCCGTATGTGCCCCCTTCTCAAATTTTTATTTTCTCCCTCTTCCCTGCTTCTCCTTCCTGATCTTAATTGCACTTTGGCTCTCAGAAGAAAAACCTCCCCGCTTGCAGAGCCTTTTCACCGAGAGCCGCAGTGCATGACACTTTACAGCCAAAAACTTCCTCCAGCCGAACAGCTATAAAGACTCCCAGTTTATAGCAACGCTTCCCTTCTTCCATGGGGCGAGGACTCGCCTACAGCTGCCCCGCACCCCCTCTCCCCCACAGGTCCATCCGATTCGTCTCTATTGCATTCTCCCCGCTGCGGGGTTAGGAGTCCTGCGGGACAGCGTCTGCCCCAGAAATAATGGCAGCAAGGACAGAAATGCTGCGGGTCCATTATTTTAACCCCCTGCACTAACATATCATCATAAAATGTTATCAGATGGGAAATATGGTCATAATAATGGGCGCATACACGGGTATCTGAGGCATTCGTTTTAGTTTCCTACAGTT